GCAGATCTCTTCCTCCACCTCCAAGAGCCGGGAGTTGGACCAGAGCTCTGGCAGTTGCACCTGCCACCATTGGGGAGCCCAAATGAATCATTGCTGTGACTGAGTCTTTTCCTTTAGGGCCCGGTGAAGCCTCTGCTTGTTTTTAACGGTGTTGGCTTAATCCTGGCTCCTGCCCTGAACTGAATGTGAAGATGAGACCGTTTTACCTTATCCATGCTCTCTGATTATACCACATCAGGACTGTTGCCACTTCCCACTGCTCCGTGGCAGCCCCTCTGAGTACCACCCACGTTGGCTGACTATGGGATGATAGGACAGAGAAGGAACAAGCCAAGGAGCAAGATGGAGGAGACTAATAGGACGCAGAGGCCACTCTTAACACCACAGGCTTTTTAACTGGAAGGAATGTTAATGATCACCTAGGTCACTTGATCTCAGTCTCCTTAGGGCCACAGATCTCTTTGATGATCAGATGAAAGTGGTCAAACTCTCTTTCCAGAAAAATACACCTTCCCAGATTCCAGGATATTTCCCAGAATCCCTGAAACCCATTTTTCGTAGAGATGGAGTTTCACCATGTTGGCCAGGCTGGTCTTGAACTCCTGACCTCAGGTGATCTGCCCACCTGGCCTCTCAAAGTACTGGGATTACAGGTGTGAGCCCACCATGCCCGGCCAGATAACTGAATTTAAACTCAGTTCTCCTGATTGCCAATGTAGGACCCATCAGCCCATAGTAGGTTGTCACCCTGCGCTGAGCCCTATGGCGGCAATTGTGGGAAATTAAGGTGCTTATAGCCAAGGAAATAGGATCTCAGACTCGTAGAAAAAAAAAAAAAAAAACTAAGATCAGTGAGTAAGCAATATTCCTGCCATAGAGTCCTCTTTGGAAGGTAGAAGCTAATGTCTTCCATTAGTTCACCAGGCAATTATTGAGTGCCTATGAGCATCTCTTAATCTCTAATCACTGGGAGATTCATTATTTATTAGAAATTGAAACTCACCTGTAATCCCAGCACTTTGGGAGGCCGAGGTGGGTGGATCACCTGAGGTCAAGAGTTCTAGACCAGCCTGGCCAACATGGTAAAACCCCATCTCTACTAAAAATACAAACATTAGTGTGGTGACACTCCACAGTGAGATGGAGTCTCACTGTGTTGCCCAGGCTGGAGTGCAGTGGCACAATCTCGGCCCACTGCAACCTCTGCCTCCCGAGTTCAGGCGATTCTCGTGCCTCAGCCTCCCGAGTAGCGGGGTTCACAGGCATGTGCCACCATGCCCGGCTGGGGTTTCACCATGTTGACCAGGCTGGTCTCAAACTCCTGACCTCAAGCAATCTACCTGCCTTGGCCTCCCTAAGTGCTGAGATTACAGGTGTGAGCCACTGCACCCAGCTGACAGCCTATTCTTTTCTTTCTTTTGCAGCACATACTCTATTCTGCCTTGTATTTTTGGTAATAGCTCCCCAGTCTGTCTCTCCTACTAGATGATAACCTCTCAAGGGCTATCTTTGTAGTCCCTCAAGCCCAGGGCAGCACTTTGTATGCAGTGGGTATATCAGTCAGGGCCCAATCAGGAGACAGAAACCACACAGTAATTTGAATAGGAGAAATGTAATAGAAGGAATTATTGATCTCTGATAGGAGCAACTATAAGGATGTAAAGGGAACTCCACAGGGTACCCTAAGGCTGAGAGAGAATACCCAGGAAGGAGAAAGTTGGAAGGGGCCCCTCTGCATGGCTGGGGTTCAGACTTCATTGGAGAAGGTGTGGTTGTAGCCCACAGGATGGCGGGGAAGTTCACGAGGTTGACCTGAGCCAGGGCTGGTTCACAGTGATTGAGGAGCAGAGCGCCCTCTGGGGTGCAGGCCTGAGGAGGTTGCTGGACAGGTGTGTGTGTGAAGAGAGAGTCAGGCACGCTGCCAGTGCAAGGCCTGCAGCATGCAGTGCCTGCAGCAGGAGGGCCACCGTGAAGTGGTTACTGGACCCAGGCTAGGGCTGCAAGGTCACTGAGCAACCGTGCACTCTAGGCATGCAGCTGGGGCAGAGCCTGACTGAAAGTCCCCACAGACAGACTCTGCAGCCCAGCAACATCCAGATCTGAAGGAGAAATCCCCTTCCTCTTGCAGTTGCCTTCCAGGGCCCCCTACTGATGAGGCTCACTGTAAAGGAGAAATGCTTACAGGGTCCAGTCCGTGATCTCAGAGCAGAGGCATAAGGGCGACTTTGGAACTGAGGCAATACTGTGAAACTGCAATGGGTGCAATGGGGGATCAATAAAATGTTTGAATTAAATCAGGGAAAGCTACACAACCTATCATGCCCCCCTTCATCCCTGCTTAGTTCCCTTTCTTTGAGTCCTATAGATTTTACTACCAATAAATGTCAAACCTTTTTAATTACTTTTGTAATTTACTCTCTGGAAGCTCATTTCCCTCTGGGGTATTCTGTGTGTGTGTGTGTGTGGTTTTTGTTGTTGTTGTTTTTGAGACAGAGTCTCACTCTGTCAACCAGGCTGGAGTGCAGTGGCGCAATCTCCACTCACTGCAATGTCCACCTCCCAGGTTCAAGGGATTCTTCTGCCTCAGGCTCCCAAGTAGCTGGGATTACAGGCGCATGACATACGCCTGGCTAATTTTTTTTATTTTTAGTAGGGATGGGGTTTCACCATCTCATCATGTTGGCCAGGCTGGTGTTGAACTCCCAACCTCAAGTGATTCCCCCACCCCCACCCCTGCTTCAGCCTCCTGAAGTGCTGGGCTTACAGGTGTGAGCCATCGTGCCCGGCCTCTGTGTGTCTTCTTAACGAGGCACTTGTCTCTCTTAGCTCACACTTAAAAGAGATTTGCAAAAAGAAAGAAGGAGCAGGGGGACTGGCTCTTGCAAACAGTGTGAGACCCAGTATTTTATTTCACAACTTATTTCTCCACTTGAACTTGAACTTGTTTCTCCACTGTCTGTTTCATTTCGAGGCAGTCCACTTGTCCCTCCCAAATGCTTTAGGAGTGTCCTGAGGCACTTGACTTCAAGTAGCCGTGGAAAGAATCAGAGTTCACTCAAGAACCAGTCTTTCTCTGACTTGAAGGAGAAGTCAGTGGCCACCTCGGGTCAGACTGGGGAGTTAATCTCCTTGGACAAATCTGAAGAGTCTAGTCTCCAAATATTTAGAAGAGAATAGGCAAGAAGAGAAGAACCACCAGCAGACTTGGAGGATAATTTCAACACAAATATTATTCAGAAAGCATTTAGAAAGGACTGATCATTTCAAGTAACTTGAGAATCCAACCAAGACAAGTTGAGCCTATACAGAACCCTTCAGATGCCCTCTTGTGGGAGACTGTGTCATGAATAGGCACCAAATTTGGGTTAGGACAGTGTTCTTGGGTATCAACCACCCTGTTCTTCCAAAATACTTCATTCTCTCCTGAAGAGTCAGATGTAATTAGTGTTAACTGGAGATTCCCTCCAGGAATGAGCTAAACAGTGAGATGCGGTTACAGTTAAGACTTCCTCTAAGAATGAAGTGGTTGTCCAAACTTAAATCTGTTGGCCGGGCATGGTGGCTCACGCCTGTAATCCCAGCACTTTGGGAGGCCAAGGTGGATGGATCACTTGAGGTCAGGAGTTCGAGACTAGCCTGGCCAAGATGGTGAAACCTCGTCTCTACTAAAAATACAAAAATTGGCCGGGCTTGGTGATGGGCACCTGTCGTCCCAGCTACTCAGGAGTCTGGGTCAGAAGAATCGCTTGAACCCAGGAGGTGGAGGTTGCAGTGAGCCGAGATCCCACCACTGCACTCCAGCCTTGAGACTCTGTCTCAAAAAAAGAAAGCTGTTTGTCATCCTGCAGAAGGATGATGATCCCTTTAGACCAGAAAGATGACAATGAGAAGAACTAGAAGAACTTAATTTTTTTTTTTTTCTTTTTTTGAGACAGTCTCACTCTGTTGCCCAGGCTGGAGTGCAATGACACAATCTCAGCTCACTGCAACCTCTGCCTCCCGGGTTCAAGTGATTTTCCTGCCTCAGCCTCCCAAGTAGCTGGGATTACAGGCATGCACCACTATGCCCGGCTAATTTTTGTATTTTTGGTAGAGACAAGGTTTCACCATGTTGGCCAAGTTGGTCTCAAACTCCTGACCTCAAGTGATCCGCCCGCCTCGGCCTCCCAAAGCTTTGGGATTACAGGCGTGAACCACCGTGCCCAGGCCAACATTTATATCTACATATCGCGGCTGTGTTGTTGTTGTTATTATTATTATTATTATTATTATTATTATGATTTGCAAGTGATATGCATTCTGGGCCAGTGGGACCTAGGTCAGATTGGCAGGAAACTATTTCAGTGTCTTGCCAAGCTTTACCTTGTTACCTTTATATGTGCAAGGGAAATTGTGCTCTTAAATGATCAAGAAAAATCAGCTATGTTTCCCCTGGGTAATGAGATTGTGGTTTATTTTCTTTTTTTTTTTTGCTTATCTATATTTTCTACAATGAGCATGTATTATTTGTGAAACTAAATATATATAAAAATATATAACATATATTTTTAACGTATATATATATCATTTTAATTTTAAAAAATATACTCTTTCTAACTCTTGGCCTATATCCCTTTTTGACACAAATTTAGCCAGACCCTTTCCAACCTCTTTACTCCTCCTGTTCAGGTGAACTGCCAAAAATCAGCAGACTTCAGTTTGGGAAGAGATTTTTTTGGAAGAGATTCATTTCCTCACTCTTGAACTTCTAAAAACAGCCCAGTTTTTCTTCTACCTCTCACCAAGCAGTGATTGATGCTACACCTGCCTCTGATGTGACAAAACCGAAGCCATGAATCAAAGCTTTCTATGATTCTTGCGCATTCTGAGGCTGGTGAAAGCACTAGCCGGGGGCACTGGGACGTGTGAAGATGCTCTGTGTGGGGGTTACTCTGCCTCAGGCACTTTGGAGGGTAACACCTGCTATCACTAACCTTTGATATGTTGCTCTGCTTTTTCAGATTTTCGACAATGAAGCCAAAGACCTGGAGAGAGAAGTTTGCTTTATTGATATCGCCTGCGATGAAATTCCAGAGCGCTACTACAAAGAATCTGAGGTAAACGACATTTGGGATGAGATGTGGAAGAGATTCATTCATTCATTCATTCATTCATTCATTCATTCATTCTGCAACTATTTCTTAAGTGCCTCCTAACTTGGGAGGGTGCCATCTCTCGTTGTGTGGATTCAATTTGTTTTCATGTCTTTCTGGTTCTTTTTGCGAGTCTCAAAATTAAGTCCCTAACTCTTCAGGGACCATCATTGGCCCTGGCCGTTACTCAATTTCCACTTAGTTTTCCTGTCTCCCAACTCTGCCGTCATTTTTTGGCAACGTCAGTATCCGTAGGGCTGGGCCATCCAACACACTGGCCTCCCTGAAACACAACAGGCAGTCTCCCCAATCTCATGCTTTTTTTTTTTTTTTTTTTTTTTTGTTGGAGATAGAGTCTCGCCCAGGCTGGAGTGCGGTGGTGTGATCTCACTGTGATGTCTGCCTCCCAGGTTCAAACAATTCTTCTGCCTGGGTCTCCTGAGTATCTGGGATTACAGGCGCCCGCTACCATACCTGGCTAATTTTTGTATTTTTAGTAGAGATGGGGTTTCACCCTTTTGGCGAGGTTGGTCTCCAACTTCTGACCTCAAATGATCCCCCCACCTCGGCCTCCCAAAGGGCTGGGATTACAGGCATGAGCCACCTGTGTTTTATCTGTATCTGAATCAATCCTTGAAAACTTTGATAGCTCATTCCAGCACAGCTCCTTTCTCTCAAAACAGCAAGCACCTTAGTGAGGGCATCTCCTTTGTTCTTGGCTGAGAATAAATTTCAGAGAACTTCTTTCTCTCTGGTTTTCAACCTACCAGGATCCATCCTTTGCCTTAGTTCTACCTTCCTGCTATATGGTTTGTGCGAGTCACCATTTATATCCCATTAGTATTTTATTAATGGCTGCTGATGGAACTTGGGTGACCCACTTGTATATAACATCCTAGCCCTGCAATGACAGCAGATGCAGGGCTATTTTTGTTGGTTAGTGACATGCCACCAATCCCAATATGTTTGGAATCAGGGCCCCAGACTCGTCCTCGAACCGTAACATGTGGACCTTGAAACTCTTCTCCCAGAGTCATTAAGGCTGATGGGAGACACAATAAAATAAACTTGTTCAAAATGAATTCTGTCGTTACACAAATAAACCAGGCTCCCAGCGTGGTTCGGATTTCTTTTGCCTCCACATTTTGGCATTCGTTTCGGTATGAAAGTCTTACCTGATCTTAGCAAATGCTTGGCTGCTTAATTGCAGGCACGTGTCTTCAGCTGCTATCCCTGAAAGGGATGGGGAGAGGCTGATATGGATCACTCTGTGTTGCTCATCTCCACCCAAAGGGTGAGCGTTTTAACATCATCAACTTTCATTGTGCTCTGCGGCCAACCACACCTATGCATTTTAGGATAAACAAAGTTAAATGCTCTCTGCGTAACTGTGGAACCGCTGAAGAGGGAAATAAACAGGGCACCATTGACCTTCCCCTTGTCTCACTCCGTGGAAATCCTGTAGTTTCATGTCAAGTCCGCCAGTGCTTAATGGAGTCTGATGATGTCCAGAGCATTGTGCAAAGCACTCCTGTGACGCCTCGGGCCCCCCTGGGCTGCTGTCCTACCTGGACCTCCCGGCCTCTTTGGGGCCTTCCAGGAAAGCAGGGGCGCCAGAAAACTCTGAACTAATTTCAGCTTTTCCTCCCAGTGTGCTTTGGCGTGGCTCTGCCTGGACTTCAGGGAGTTCCCTCCTGATTCAGTAGGAAGTCTTGATACAAATATAGAATATTAATGAAGAAATCAAGTCTCATTTCTAGTCAACGTGCCTGACTCATTTCCCTGTGCTCTGTGCCCCCAAAGAACCTCCACTAGAAAGCTTCCTTTCATTCACATAGACATTCGAGGAGCTTTTCCCTCATGCTTCACAGAGTCGCTCATGGGCACGTCCATACCTCTTTCCCTGGGTCCTAAAGTATTCTTCCCTGGATGCAGTTTGGCCAAGATGAGTGGTAAATAGTCCAGTAATTATTCATCCAGTAAATATTTATGGAGCCCTCACTGAGTGTCACGTACAATGTTAAGATGAGGATGTCTGGGCGTGGCGGCTAACACCTGTAATCCCAGCACTTTGGGAGGCCAAGGCAGGGGGATCACTTGAGTTTAGGAGTTTGAGACCAGCCTGGTCAACATGGCGAAAACTCTACTAAAAATACAAAAATTAGCTGGCAGGGTGGTCAGCTACTCGGGAGGCTGACGCACGAGAATCGCTTGAACCCAGGAAGCGGAGGCTTTGACGAGCTGAGATCGCAACAGAGTGAGAAACTGTCTCAAAAAAAAAAAAGACACAGCAGCAATGAGCCAAAGAGATACCTAGGGTCCCTCCCCTCAGGACACTTCTAATCTAGCAAATACCATGCAGAGAGTATTTGGTGAAGAGTAGAGAAATAGTCACACAGATACATATGGAGTTCAGAGTCACAAGTGCAGGAAGGCAGGTACAGGGAGAGACTGTGATGAGGAAACTGCATTTAAGAGGATAGGATCAGGAGATATGCTATGGAAAAAATGACAGTTCAAGCCGGGCGCAGTGGCTCACGCCTGTAATCCCAGCATTTTAGGAGGCCAAGGCAGGCAGATCACCTGAGGTCAGGAGTTTGAGACCAGCCTGACCAGCAGAATGAAACCCCAACTCTACTAAAAATACAAAAATTGCCCGGGCTTGGTGGCATGCGCCTGTAGTCCCAGCTACTCGGAAGACTGAGGCAGGAGAATCGCTTGAAGTCCCAGCTACTCGGGAACCCAGGAGGCAGAGGTTACAGTGAGCCGAGATCACACCACTGCAATCCAGCCTGGGCAACAGAGACTCGGTCTCAAAAAAATAAATACATAAACAAATAAATAAATAAATAAATGAAGTTGAGGCGTCATAGGATCTAAATTATACTTTTAAAAGATTGTTCTGGATGGAGAATGGACTAGAGAAGAGCAGAGTCAGGAGACCACCAAGGTCACTATCATTATTTATGTTGTCAGTTACTTAGGTGCTATCGTGGCTTGCGCTAGAGGGCTGGCGGCAGAGATGGAGAGGAGCAGATGGTTTTGATGTATGTTTTGAAGATGAGGATGAATTGGCAGGGATTGCTTATGGATTGGATGTGGGGATGAGGTTGAAGGAGGAGTTGGGATGGCCTTAAGGATTCTGGCTTGAGCGACTGATAGATGGGGGTGCTGCTTACTGAAATGGGAAGATGAGAGGTGTACGTTGGAGAAAGATGCGTGGATTTTGTGATGTCAGTGAGGCAGCTAACACAAACAGAAATGAGTCTGGAGCTTAGGCGAGAGATCTGGGCTGGAGACAAACTCGAGAGTATTTGGCGAACAGGAGATTTAAAAATCCTGGGGATGGATGAGAGGAAGAAAGCATGAAGTATAAATGGGAAAGGGGTTCAAGTCCGAGCCTTCAAGGATGGCAGCAGCTGGCGATCAGGTCGAATCTAAAAGAATCAGGCATCTAAAAGAATTGGTCAGAAAGTTAGGACGAAAACAAGGGAAATGCACCAAGGAATGTAAGTTTCAAGAGGAAGAGAGTGACCAGAGGTGCTGAATGCTGCCAAGAGATCGAGTAGGAAGAGAATGGAAAACTGTCCACTAGAACAGTTCTCCACTGGGGGCGATTATTGCCTCATGAGGATGCTTGGCAATGCCTGTAGACATTCTCAGTTGTCAAAACATAGGAGGGCTACTGGTATCTAGAGTGTAGAGGCCAGGGATGCTGCTAAAATCCTCTACAGCACAGACAGCCCCTCACAACAAAGAATTATCGGAATCCAGCCGGATGCGGTGGCTCACACCTGTAATCTCAGCACTTTGGGAGGCTGAGGCGGACAAATCACAAGGTCAGGAGTTCAAGACCAGCCTGGCCAACATGGTGAAACCTCGTTTCTACTAAAAATACAAAAAATTAGCTGGGCATGGTGGTAGGTGCCTGTAATCCCAGCTACTCTGGAGGCTGAGGCAGGAGAATCACTTGAACTTGGGAGGCCAAGATTGCACCACTGCACTCCAGCCCAGGCGACAGTGCGAGACCCCGTCTCAAAAAAAAAAAAGAAAGAATTATCTGGCTCCAAATGTCCATAGTGCCAAGGCTGGGAAACTTTGTTCTACAGGAAGAGGTGATTGAAGATGGATGGAACTCTGGATTCAGCTTTGATGCTCAGGGCCACCCCTGGCCTGTCCTAGAGTCTTAGGGTTACTGAATGGATGCGGGAGAAGGGGGCCCATAGGGCTGAGCCCTGCACACTCATCATCCATTGTGTGACCTCCCAGGGGATCTGCTGGCCTCTGTAACAGGTGGAATTCCTCCTTCATGGACCTGGCAGCCAGATCACAAAGGGCTACAGGTACCACTGGGAGCCTGCAATAAAATCTTAGAAAAAACATTCCCCCAGGGGCGACTCCCTTGTGACCCCAGCCCCACCATCTTCAACAGGCCAGAATACAGACTGCAGTCTGAATCCACCCGAAGGAAGAAGGGTGAGTTTCCTGGGCTGTTTTGGTGGTTGTGTCTACGGTAAACATGCCAGGGACTGGGAGTAAGAGGAACAACAGATTCAGAAGGCAAACCATTTCCAAACAGACAGAAATGTCTAACTGGCACACTGTAAATAATTAACACCCTCCACCCCACCGCAGGAGTTTCCTTCTAAAATGAAATCTGACCTTGTTCTGTGCTTAAAACCCCTCACTGGCCCTCCTTTAGAGTTCAGCTCACACAGGACTCCCCCTGTCTGAGTTTTCCTGGGCATGTCGCTCCCCCACCACTGCTGGTCTGGATGCAGCGAAGTTCTGGTCCATAGCTTCTAGATCATGCTAGATTGTGCTAGCTCATCGCTATGGCATGAGCTCTGCAAAGACAAGAGCTGGCTGTTCCCCAGCCGCTGCTACAGCACCAGTGCTTAGCAAGCACTCACTCAATGGTTGCTGAATGAATGAGTGAAGGCAAGGGACTTTGCTTTTTTTCT